TTTTCACCCCAAATCCCCTCACAAAAACCTCAAAAACTGAGTTTTAAACCCAAATCCCCTCACAAAAACCTCAAAATCTGAGTTTTAAACCCAAATCCCCTCACAAAAACCTCAAAAACTGAGTTTTAAACCCAAATCCCCCCAGACTTTTACTTAAACTCGTCAAAACTGGGATTTTCACCCCAATTCCCCTCACAAAAACCTCAAAAACGGAGTTTTAAACCCAAATCCCCTCACAAAAACCTCAAAAACGGAGTTCTAAACCGAAATCCCCTCAGATTTTTCACCAAACTCATCAAAACCGGGATTTTCACCCCAAATTTTACTCTAACTCATCAAAACTGAGATTTTTACCCCAAATCCCCTCACAAAAACCTCAAAATCTGAGTTTTAAAACCAAATCCCCTCACAAAAATCTCAAAAACTGAGTTTTAAACCCAAATCCCCTCAGACTTTTACTTAAACTCGTCAAAACTGGGATTTTCACCCCAAATCCCCTCACAAAAACCTCAAAATCTGAGTTTTAAACCCAAATCCCCTCACAAAAACCTCAAAATCTGAGTTTTAAACCCAAATCCCCTCACAAAAACCTCAAAAACGGAGTTTTAAACCCAAATCCCCCCAGACTTTTACTCAAACGCATCAAAAACGAGATTTTCACCCCAAATCCCCTCACAAAAACCTCAAAATCTGAGTTTTAAACCCAAATACCCTCACAAAAATCCCCAAAACGGAGTTTTAAACCCCAAACCCCCATCACAAAAACCTCAAAAACGTAGTTCTAAACCCAAACCCCCTCAGATTTTTCACCAAACTCATCAAAACCGGGATTTTCACCCCAAATTTTCCTCGAACTCATCAAAACCGATCTTTTCACCCCAAACCCCCTCACGAATCCCCCACCCCCCACCCTTTCAACCCAAATCCCCTCACGCTTTCCCCCCAAACTCATCAAAACCGCAGTTTTCACCCCAAAACCCCTCCCACCCCCCCAACCCCCCAAAACCCGCAACTTCCCCCCCAAAAAA